CTTGCTCCCAGGGCTCAAAGCTGTATGCAGGCAGCCTGGACCACAATCAGGAGCAGTTTAACGACAGGTTGAGCAAGTGTAGAATGGTGGTAGAGTGTGCTTTTGGACATTTAAAGGGAAGGCTTCACTGTCTACTAACTAGATTAGACTTCAGTGAAAACAACATTCCCCTTGTTGTGGCAGCCTGCTATATGGTCCATAGTATTTGTGAAAATAAAGGGGGGAAATTATATGGCAGGGTGGGGAGGTTGAGGCACAGCACCTAGCCAGTAATTATGAGCAGATACATTGTGAGCATAAAACCTAATCTTAGCATAAAAGGGGTGTTTAAAGACAATAGGATGTGCTACATACAATGCCACAGTTATGCTTTTAAGGGCCCACTACACAACAAACATCAGAGTTCTTAGAGGAGCAGCTGGCCTTAGTGTGGTGGTAGGAATGGTAAAAGACAGGCCAGGACTTGAGCCTGTGGGGAAGAGGAGGTCCAGATGAGGAGGCAAGACAAGGCAGGACAGGGCAGGAGCTCATGCAGTGCCCATGTGTGTCAACATCCCCTCTCTCCTCCCTGTTTCTCCTTCGTCGTTTACCAGGAGACTGCAACTCTGCCTTCCCGCAGGAGCATGCAAGTGGGAAGGGGGTCCAGGCATGGTGGCATGACAGGGACTCAAGCCATGCTTCATTAGGGATGAGCAAACAGAGGTTTACTGCAGGGGAAGGTATTAGTTGATGCCTCTGCAGTAAACCTCCTTGTGCTCATCCCCAGTGAAGTATGCCTTGAGGCCCTGCCCTGCTGCCAGGCCCAGACCCACCCCCCCACTCCTACCCGCATGCTTCTGCAGGTTGCCATGCATGACATCAACCTTCTCTGAATCACACAGACTGATAGGGAGCAGATGTTGACTGAAAATGACCAAAAACCTGAGCCGTATGCTGCAATGCTTTGTACTACTTACTGCTGGCTTGGCATGGAAAAGTGACCTAGCATGGAGGACAGAATAAGGCAGCCTTCCCAGAAAGCTTGTGAGAAGGATGGAGGAGATCCTCTATGAGAGCTTTATGGAGAAGTGCAGGGAGGATTTCCACTGCATCTCCAGACAGGTTAACAACCTACTTCAGAGAGCCCCCGCTGTGTAGGAACAGTGGCTGCCACAGATCAAACCCAAGTAGCATGGATTTAAAAAGAGGGAGGGAACTCCCCGGCATCAGGACCCAGCTGCAAGAGAGGAGGGATGGTTTCCAAACTTATAAAAAGGTCCTGGTTGTTGGGTGAGATCAGTTGTCCCACTCGCCTGTTGACCATTCTCCTCCTCTTCTTCCGCATCCATGCAGTTCTCCTTGCTGCTGCTGAGGCTTCCAGAGGAGTGTCTTAGGAGGAATCCACAGACTGATAGGAAAGCTGGTCGGGTCCCCTCCACCGCATGTTTGTGGCAATGATCCAGACTGTCCATTTGCCTCCTTTGTCTTCTAGTATGCCTGCCTGAGCTACTTTATTTTCACATGGCACTGCTGGGTGTCCCTGGCACATCTTCTCTTCTTCATGCCCTTTGCGATCTTGGCATAGATATCTGTGTTCCTTTTGCTGGTTCATAGTTGTAAGAGAACAGATTCTTCTCCCCACACAATTAGATCCAGGATTTCCTGCATGCTCCATGATGGTGTTCATTTGAGACCTGGGGACCCAAGGTCAGGTGTGCTGCTGCGGTGTGCTGCCTCCTCTGAGGTCTGCCCACCACACAGGAAATTAAATTTGAATTTTCCCAGGGCTTTTCCTATTCACTTGGAGATCAGTAGAGTTGACAGTTCTGGCCAGACAGTGGGGCACTGGGGATACTCCCAGAGGCCAAGAACATCAGTTTGCACATTGCTACATCTGCATTACCATAAAGTAAACCATGCAAGGTAGAATTTAGCGTTACTCCTTGTGAAAAGCAGGAGTACCAAAATTTACTTTAATGGCCATTAAAGTCAACAGAACAGGCTTGGTAATGTAGACTCACCATTTAGAAAAATCAACCTAATGTGACTAAGTTTGACCTAAACCCCTAGGCTACGTCTAGACTGGCATGATTTTCGGCAAATGCTTTTAACGCAAAAGTTTTTCCGTTAAAAGCATTTGCAGAAAAGAGCATCTAGATTGGCATAGATGCTTTTCCGCAAAAGCACTTTTTTGCGGAAAAGCGTCCATGCCAATCTAGACGCAGTTTCGCGCAAGAAAGCCCCGACTGCCATTTTCGCCATCGGGGCTTTTTCGCACAAAACCCTTGCAGCTGTCTACACTAGCCCTTTTGCACAAAAGCATTTCCGGAAAAGGGCTTTTGCCCAAACGGGGACGTGAAAGCATTTGCGCAAGAAGCGCTGATTTCGGACAGTAGAACGTCAGTGCTTTTGCGCAAAATCAAGCAGCCAGTGTAGACAGCTGGCAAGTTTTTCCGCAAAAGCAACTGCTTTTGCGGAAAAACTTGACAGTCTAGATGCAGCCCTAGTGTACATCAAACCTTTGGGTAGGAGACAATCCCTGCCCTGAAGTGCTTACAATCTATATAGGCAAGACAGACAAAGTAAAAGAAAGATGTAGAACTGCAAGCAGAGCGAACACTATGGCAGCAAACATGTTGATGCCATGATTTCTGTGTTTCACTGAGTGGAGATTAGGATGTAGCTGATAGGGGGCATATGGGTTATCTTAACAAAGACAGCATATGGGTTGATTTAGTTGGGATTGGTCCTGCCTTGGGCAGGGGACTGGACTTGATGACCTCCTGAGGTCTCTTCCAGCCCTATGATTAAAGGAAGGGAGTAAAGGGGGCAGGGAGGAAGAAGAGGGTATGAAAGGCAAGTATAAAATGAGGCTTAGGTGAAAGAAAAGAAAAGAAAAGAAAAGAAAAGAAAAGAAAAGAAAAGAAAAGAAAAGAAAAGAAAAAAGAGAAAAGAAAGAGCAGGTTGGTCATGAATAGAGAAAATTGCCAATGAGCACCAGATGTCTGACCAAAAGTATATAAATGTAACCCCCAAGGAGATTACTTAGATTCCCGGGGCTCTGTCTGCTGGCAGCTCAGGGAGAGGCACTCTGAGTTTGCCTTGGCTCCCCCTCCCTACCAGGAGCAGAGTCAGCCCGGCAACCCATAGGGAGTGAGATGTCCCTCCCAGGGAGTTCAGGAGGGGAAGAAGGGCCAATGTGGAGACAGTCTGGAGCCAGCCAGGGCAAGGGAAGGACTGGCTGTGTGGGAGCTAGTAAGCCCCAGGCCTACATGCAGGGTTCCCCTAACCACTAGCCTCTAGGGACCTGAAGACAGGAACCCTTAGCTGGGTTTTATTTCTCCACTGTTGATTCCCAGTTTATGGAGTTTGCTGGGAGGCTTCCCCAGCCAGGCTGAGTTGGCTCTCCGGCTCCCTGGGTGAGACCAGTCACCGCATGGTCAGCTCTGCTCTGTCTGCTGGTTTGGGGCTGCTGCCTGCTGTGTGTGTCTGAATGCTGGGGTAGAAGATTACAGTTTGAATTTTAGTGCAGTTGTGCAGCCTGCCCTTGAGCCTTGCACCCCTTTGTGGTGAGGGGAAATCCTGGGACCGAAGCAGCCTGATTCCTGCCTGAGGAGGATTCCTGCCTGAGGAGGATCCCTGCCAGCAGAGACCAGCCCCTCTGCAGTGACTGAGTCATCTCTGAACCTGAGCCTCATTCATGGAGTGTGTGAGTGCACCATCTTTTAGTTAGTACGTCAGGGAATTTGTTTGATGATTTTATAACCCGCTGCATATTAAACCTATGGAGGAATTTACCACGTGAGTCCTTTGGGCTGTGCTGGACCCAGTCAGCCTCACTGCTAAACCACTGCAGAGAAGAAATTTGTGGTCATAAGTCATCAAGGGCCCCAACAAAGTACACGTACCAACGGCACACTAATCTTACAGTTGCTGGGCACTGGTGACCCTAAAGATAGTGTTTTACCCTGTTATGTTATATTTGTCTCCTGTTTAATATAATTGTGTTTATTATAGTGTATGTGTTTGTGTTCTTTTTTGGGAGTCTCCAACTATCTGGCAAGTACGTGGGGATTCCCCTGGGTTAGAATTTTCCTCCCAAGCTTCCCTAATGACCCTGCCAGGAAGGAGAGAGGGGGGGTGGAGGCACCGCCAAATAAATCCATCAGAAAAAATAAAGTTGAGTGGGTGGCGGGATCTAGAAGAACCCAGACTACCTATCAAAACCTGTAAGCAGACTGGCATTAAAGAAGGTAACCAGGTGGAGAGGGAGCGCTACATAAAACAAAAAACCACTCCAGTATCATTAATAAGCAGTAGTCCCTGACTAAGCTGCTTCTGCAGGTATTCTGGCCACTTTCAGTCCCTGCCCGGACTTTCTTTTCTAAAGACCACATAGCTGGGGGACTTGGGACTGGTGCTACACAAGTCCCAGACCGCACATGAGGGAGGGATCTCCCTTACCCAGTTCTGGAACCAAGAAGTGCAGGAAGGAAGAGGTGTTTCTGGGCAGCAGTACCTACATTAACAGCTTCTGAAGTGGTTTCTTATTCACATGGCTTGAAATTAACCCATTTCCCTTTTTTCCCCCTTTTTGGTTAAATTTCTGCAATACTTTTAGCCTAAAAAAAATTGAAAGTAGGAATAAGATCCTCCGGAAAAGGGCTTATTTTCCGGAGAATCACGTCTAGACTGGCGCTTTTCTCCGGCTTATCCCCAAGCCGGAAAAAAGCAGCAGCCATGTTAATGCAAATTCCGCGGGGGATATTTAAATCCCCCGTGGATTTTGCTATTCCGAAGTGCTACATTAGCATCCCTTTTCCGGAAAAGGGGTGCAGTGTAGACACAGCCACTCAAGTCTCCAGAAATAAACCATGACCACTGGTGCAAGGCCAGTCCCTGGAGAAGGTGGTTACCTTCCTTTTCAGCAGTTACCACCGTATCCTAACGTAAACAGTTGTTCACATGGAAAACGACAAACATCTATTAGCACTTATGTAAATTGTAAAGATGAACACTACCTTATGAAGAATGAAGCCGCAGCGGAAGTACCAGCAGAGGCCCCAGCAGGAGCAACCAAACTCTGCGAGGTCAGTAAGCTGCCTGTTCCAGTTTGGTCACAGTTGTTCTGCCCTGAGGCAACATGAACATTAGGACTTTCCCATCCACCTTCTGTTGCCGTTTCTGCCTGAAAAAAATAATTGTAGAGATACATATGCAGATCTAGACGTATGAACATAGATTACACATATGGCAGCCTGAATTTTAAAGTGGTGCTTCTAGATCACATCCTTTGCAACCCGTGCTTAAAAGCACACCCACAGCAAAGAAAAAGTAATGAAAGTGTACAAGCATGCCATAGAGGGCCTTGTAATGGAGAAGGTTAAAACCATGACCACAACAGACAAACAGAGTAATACAGAGACCCTTTGTTATGGATAATGCACAGTTAAACAGTTTGACAAGCATGAAGAAATGGAAAACGATAAGCAGAACCCTTTTGTTTTACAGTGCTATTTTGCAGCTGGCAGAACAGTTTATCTGGTTCAGTTATAACTGTCAGGAATTGTTTCTCAGTGGCACATCATCTACGAGGCCTATCTGTTTAAAAGGAGCTAAACAAACAGTCATATTTGTAACTTGTTTCCATATGAACAAGACACAAAGTAAAAAAAAAAATTTTTTTTTTTAAACACCATCTATATAAGCCTTTGTTCTGCTGTTTTTCTAATATCATTGGTCTCAGTGGCACATGTAGGTTACATTTTTGTCTCCTGCAAATGATATCTGTGCAAAAAACAGAAGTGCACAGGGATGAATCATTTTCAGTGCAAAGTCCCAAATCAACAGTGCTTGAGGGAATTTGTTTCGGGTCTTTTTTTCCTGCCAAAATATCATAGAAATATGTATTCTGAAAGACAGACAGACACTGTCAAATAAATATCTTACATTTAGGCCCATTAACTCTCCCATCGCCAAGTTTCATTAAGAGAGTTATGATATCCATGGCAGTCTACTAAAATATACAACCACAGAGCTGTGGTTCTTTTGGGGAGAACACACTAAGTAAAGACGACACCACAATAAATATTTGACGGACGAGTTAATTGCTTCATGTATGATAATATAGGGTGTTTAGGTCATTTGAAATACTACTGACATTTCCAAATAATTAGTTAATATAAATTCGAGAAACAGAGACAGACTTGTAAAACAAGCACACATGCAACTGAATACTCCCTGCTATGCCACCAAACTTTAAATTATTTTAGGCCACCAGAGATCAAGTTTTGTAACTTCAGAGATGAAGACATTAGGGATAGCTCAGTGGTTTGAGTAGTGGCCTGCTAAACCCAGGATACTGAGTTCAATTCTTGCAGAGGCCAATTTGGGCAAAAATTTGTCAGGGATGATACTTGGTCCTGCTGTGAAGGCAGAGGACTGGACTTGATGACCTTTCAAGGTCCCTTCCAGTTCTAGGAAATAGGTAATCTCCATTAAGGTATGTGTTAGAGGCACCATCACTGCAACTTTGTCTCACGTTTAAAAAAATCCAAACTGAACTTCTCTCATATCAGAGCTGGAATGACAAAAAAAAAAAAAGTCTTCAGATGTCAAGCATAGAGTTTCATTTAAGGCCCAATTCTTAGAAGTGCTGAGTCCATCTTGAGAAGTTCTGGACATCTGCAATTCCCACTGAAGTCTAAGGATCTGACCGTTATAGAGTTTTGTTAGAGAGACTTGTTAAGTTGTTGATGTTTTCCCCATAGCAATTCAAAAGAAAAAAAATAAATTAGGGATGTGAATGGTTAACCGGAAGGCCTCACCCTTAATGGATGAGGCTTATTGATTCCAGTTAACCGGTGGGGGCTGGAGCAACTCCCCTCTCCCCACAAGGGTATGTGGCTGCTCCAGCTCCATGGAGCCCACCACAGGCAGAGGTGCTCCAGCCAGCCAGACCAGCCTCTGTCTGTGGTGGGCCCAGCCCAGGTGCATGGCATGCAGGGGCACTGTAGCCTGGCTGCAGCTGAAGCAGCCCTCCCACTCATCGCCCTTTAATTGCTTAACCAGTTAATTATACTAGGGATATTAAGGACTGGTTGACTAGTCAATCCCCCCCCCCACCCCATGGCTGCCTCTATCAGTCAATTAACCAATAAAATGGGGTTTTACACCTCTAATTTTAATCGACTGATTTAGGAATCTTGATCCAAGAAAATCTGCCATACATCAATCCAAAAATTACATATTTTAATTTGTCGTAATTATAAGGGCCAAAGCCCGATCTCCACTGATTTATACAAGCCCCTCAAGAAATTCCCCACCCCATGGCTGCCTCTATCAGTCAATTAACCAATAAAATGGGGTTTTACACCTCTAATTTTAATCGACTGATTTAGGAATCTTGATCCAAGAAAATCTGCCATACATCAATCCAAAAATTACATATTTTAATTTGTCGTAATTATAAGGGCCAAAGCCCGATCTCCACTGATTTATACAAGCCCCTCAAGAAATTTCTGTGAAAAGCTGGGATTTATGCAACAATGTTTTGTGGCTAGCAGGACACTTACTGATTTAAGTTACAAAATTACAGAAGCAGCAAAGATTTATGAAATACTAGATTTTCTGTGCAGACATTTCATAATCTAAAGCTAAAAGTAAAATTTGCACAGCTAACATGATACTTGATGGAATTTCAAGAAAATAGAGATTTGATGACTCAGTATAATCTGTTGATCAGAGAACCTTTTATTTTCCCCACCACATTCATTTAATAGATCTCTGTTACTGAATGACTTTATGTCGAATACTCATATAATAGAAGTGGATTTACCATATTTTCTCTGAAGTTATTATATATTCTATGCAGACAATGGTGCTGATAATTACCATCCAGTTTTTACCCCTTTCAGAATCCACGGGGCTAAATTTCCAAAATTAACTAGTGGTTTTAGACACCTCAGATGTGTGAGTGCCTAACTTCAGAGGCCTTAATGGGACCTGATTTTCAGAGGGCAGATGCTCAGGACTTTCTATACATCACTTTCCCCACAACCACCCACCCACCCAAGCTGTCTAGTTGAGTACACCAAAGTTGCAATACCTAAAATCACTAGTTGTTTTTGAAAATTTAGCCTACAGTTTCCTCGTTAGTAAAAAATATTTTATTCTTTCTTCGATATAAATCTCCCTTTAAGAACAATGACAGGTGGGATTGAAAGGAGAGTGCATTGATTCTTGGAAAAGAAAAAAAAATGGGAACAGGACAAATTAATCAGTGAAATAATGCATTTAAAGGCAATCTATATCTTTCCATTAAGTCTTTTATTACTCAATTAGTATTCTTAAACTCAGAGGTAACATCAGTTTTGCAACATATTGACAGACTGAGCAAAACAAAAAAAGGTTCTTCAAAGCTTAGGATTCATTTCAGGTAGTGTTTGCACCACCGGAAGTGAGCATGCCTACTTGTGGGGTTCTAGAGCTCCCCAAGCCAGACCATCTGCACTGCAATTTTACATCCCCATAGCCTCATCCCAAGTCACCATCTGCAGTTACTGTGAATTGCTGCAATGCAGACATTCCTTAAGTTATTTAGGAGCCTACACTCCACTGACTTTCAATTAGACTTAGGCTCCTAAGTCCCTAAGTAACAGAGTCTAAATCCCACCCTAAATGCCTCAACTCCTTTAGAAAATGATGAGGACCCTAAATTAGATAGGTATTGTAAGGCTGAACACGAGGATACCTAAATATCTTTAGAAGTTTGGGACTTAGGCTCTTTTTAAAATGTTACCTTAATGGTTCAATGATGTCTGTGAAAGCCACCCACCTAAATTACCAGACATTGAATCAGGCCCTAAAAGTGCTATTATTGGTATTAGAGAATTGTAGCACTGTTAAGTATTTGGCACTAAGAAGTGGTCTGCTCCTGAAGTGCGATTAGCGATGGACTTCCCATTCCTTGGCTCTACTGATGGGTCGCAGGAGACCAGAACTGATTGCAATGAGCACTTCATGCAGGGCAGACTCAGCATCACACAGAGATGGACGCTCACAACCAACCCAGGGAGCCTTTTATAGACAATGTTTTCTAAGGGTGAAGCAAAGAGTGAGGAGTGGGGGGACTGAAGGAGTAGGGAACCTACAGAAAGCGATGGTTAGGGAAGACAGAGGATGAGAGTAGGACAAGTAGGTCCTTTACTTTCACCCCGGTAGAAAGTCCATGCCAGGATCTATCAGTGGGCCCAGTGTAGGGCACAATGTCCTTAGCATGTGGGGGAGGAGGGCAGAAGGAAAACACACACACACACCAATCCTTCATGGCTAGTGGTTGAATGCCCCAGTGCTCTAGCGGTGATTTGATGGTTCCTGGCAGGGCTGTCAAAAGGGGGAAAGCAATCCATCAGCTGCTTCTTACTGGAGCGCTGCAACAGTCCACTTTCACCTCTGCCTTCTACTGACCTATTATCAAAAACTACTGCTCTAGGTCATTCTCTGATAAGCAAGTAGAGACATTAAAAAAAAAAAAAAAAGCGTGGGAGGAGAGAGAGAAGCCAAAGACGAAGAAGAGAAAAGCAGAAGAGCAACAGAAAGCATGAGAAAAGGCAGACTGGTGCACAAGTGAGTTCCACCAGCCATCACAGAAAAGAAGTGCTGCGGATTCAAGGAATGCCAATTCAGGCATTAGAAAAAAATCAGACAACTCTGAGTCACCTGCCCTGGCTCCGAGGGTCCTCCAAAAAAAATTATTTTTCAGTTGAGGACCCTCCCATTCACTGCAAGTTGTCACAAATAATTTCAGGATAATTTCAGCTACAGACCCTAAAGTGTTAAAGATATTAAAAGACGGTCTTGCTTTTTAATCACGAGAATTACCTCATTCACAATGCTCTTCTGAAGGATGTATTTTGAAAATGTCATTTTTCTGGGGAATAGGAGCAGGTTTGTTGATTGTTGGAGCCTTTTTTTTTTTTTTTTTTTTAATTTTTTTTTTTTTTTTCTAATGCTACACAAGTCTGTACGAAGACAACTTCAGTAAGCTGCTGCTGAAAAGGAACTGTGCCTTCTCTGTTTACTAAATTTTCATAAATCATTCATGATCAAGTGCAGAAATCACAACCTTGCCATTATAATGTGTTACTGACTGCACTGCATATTTTAACTGCCATAGACTTCTGCTCC